TGTGCAGCCTTCTGGGGGCTGAGACCCTGTCATCCTCAGCACTGGTTCAATTTCTTATCAAGAATCATGGGGAGGGATGGCGGGTCCCTGACTCGCTCCTGCCAGCTTTTTGAGAGGAGGTGTCATGAGGCAGATATCAAGTAGTGGGATTCCTAGTGTGAGCTGTGGGGGAGGAGGTGGGGAAGGGATGGGAAGGGATGTGAGAGGCAGATTGGGGCAGGGTCTAGGGAGGGTGGGGTGCTTGACATCTCTTCTGGGGCCCAGCCTTCCCTTTCTTCTTCTCCCAAGATCCCTCTGACCCCCAGCCTCCCCCACCCACCCACCTTCTTGCCTCTGCCCACCCCTTCCCAAGGCCAGAATGGAATCTCATCCTTCAGGCCACTGGTAGAGCAGGGCCCAGGCCACACTCCTTCCCAGGTGGACCTCCCAGGCCTGACCCCACTCAGCCCAGCCCAGGGCTGAGGGGAGAAGGTTTGACTCTTCAGCTCGGGGGAGGCTCTTTCAGAGGAAGCTTCTTCAGGACCTCAAAGGAGGGCCCTGACACTTATTCCATCTCTGAAAATGGATCTTTTGAGAGATAAGGCAAGAAAATGAGATCCCAGAAAATTATTTAAGCCCTTTTGTAAGTTTTTATTTTGCATAGATTGGAGACCAATACAATCCTTAAAAAAATTATCCCAATATCCTCCCAACACACCAACACACACACACACACGCACACACACACACACACGCATGCACACACACACACGCACACAGACACACACACGCATGCACACACACGCACACACACACACACGTACACACACACGCACACACACACACACGCGCGCACACACACACATGCACACACACGCGCGCGCACACACGCGCACACACACACGCACACACACACACGCACACACACACACGCACACACACACACACGCATGCGTGCGTTCATACCACTCTCATTTAAAAAAATCAAAGACTATGGCTACGCAGAATCCCAAAGTGTTTGGGGAACATTGTGATCTCTTCCCTCCAAGACTGGTCTGCTCACCGCCCTCTGGCAGAGTGCTCTGAATTCTCACTACTCAAGGCACTGTCCATGGACTGGTAGCTTGGGCCTCACCGGGGAGCTTATTGGAAATGCAGAGTCTCAGGCCCCACTCAGACCAACATTTCAATAAGGTCCCTAGGAGATCCAC